GGGGTTGGGGGTGCCCACCCCCGGACCCCCGGACCCCAGCCGGGGCCCCAGGGTCGGGGCTCGACAACCCTGCCGCTAATCAACAATGCCGATGAGACTCGCACGGATGTCGAGGCGGCCCACGCACCCTCGACCACCCACGGAAAGTAGAGGCGGATGGGAGGTATCGCTCCCGACAAGCTACATGGTCTGAGGAATTGACACCGAATGGAGAGCCGTGACCTTGGGAAGGGACCAGATGTTCATGATGGTAGAATGTTTGTGGAGTGGGATGAGGTTCGATAGGGGACCAGGGGACGACCTGTATATCGACCTGAAGGTAACAGGAACCGTATATCTGTCGGAGGTCGGATGACACATGCTAGGAACGGAATTGGCACTAGGGCATGGGCTGTAAGCAATCTTTCAAAGGGCTATTAGGATAGTGGACTGGATAGGCCAGAAGGTGCGAGAGAGAAGGAACGTGGGGCTGAGAACCCGGGTGGAGGTAAGAGGATGGCGAGAGTTTAAGGCCCCGATGACGGGGCTGCGGTGCCGAGTGCCTCGCTTCATGGTAGACTTGGTATTTGGCCGCCTCTCAAGGGCAAGGAGCCTGGTAGAGTCGAATTTAGTCTGGAACCACTACTTTCGTTCACAAACGACGGGAATGCTCTACGATGTGTCAGTTAGGCACAAACCGTTTTGGGAAAACCAGGCCCGTGAACTACTCGAACTCATCGAAATCCTGATATTCAGGTTACCACGCATGACGTTTGAGGAATATGAACCAATAATTATCAGGGAAATAGAGATGGGAGAAAACTATCTTGCGGGGGTGGCCGAGCTGTTTGAAGAACCAGATGAGCGAGACAGACCTGAGGGACCGGCGTGAGGAAAAAGTACCGGAGAAAAAGTAAAAGGTGGAAAACCGGAATCAGAAGCTAGCCGTCAGCAAGGGAGTAGTGGTCGGAGTTCCGCCCTACCTGAGGTCGTGGCAGGAGGGAACTGGGAAGACCACCCGCGCTGAAGGACGCTGGGGCATCCGGGTGTCAGGAAGTCAAAAGGGCTACCCTCGAGGGAAAAGCTACTAGCCTCAGACACCACCCTAAGGAACCGAGGCACGACATTGACGGAACGCCAAACCTCGGCAGCGAGCCTTCCGGTAGAAGAAAGACAGAACGACGCCCTGTAGGAAATTGTTAGGTAAGTCGTCGTGACAAAAATAAGACGGCAAAATGTGGAAATAAGCAAGAATAAGGGGACCTTAGGGCCCGGGAACTAGGAAAGTCATGAACAACCGGCCGTTTCACAAAAAACATTTTTCCATGTGCAGGGTAGGTAAAGGGATGGCATCAGAAGAGGAGGCCGAAGGGTTGCGGAACAAGGGGAGTCAGGGCACAGATAGAGGCGGGGAATGGAACGAAGGGTCGGTAAGGGATCGAGAGTCGGCAAAGCCAGAGTGGACCAGGGAAGACGGGAAGGACCACTCGACAGGGGAAAGTTCGGGGAAAGCCGGGGGAAGCAAAAGAGGACCTCAGGAAAGCAGGGAAAAAATGGACAACAGCAGGGCGAATCCTCGAAACTCTGACGGGACCACGTCCAAGAAAACGAAAGTCTCGGACGCACGCCGTAAGCTAGCAGAAATAGAAAAGAGAACCGCGAAATATAAGGCAAGGCTTATTGAAGAGATGATGGCGGGGAATGAAGGAGACCTTCCGGGAGAGGAGCTACGAGGGGAACGCAGGGCCACCCAAAGCGAAGTCGGGCACGGAGGGAAGGATAGTAGCCATAAAGGGAGTCCTAGCAAGAGAGGAAAGGAGAAGGGGGAGTCCCCTGTTATAGAAGCCAAAAAAGCTACAACCCCACCTGCTATGGACAGTGGTGCTACCCGTTTGCCCACCACGCCGAAAGTAACTAAGGGGTGCGACGGACTTTGGAGTCTCAGGGAAAGGGTGTTAGGATGGTTTGATCCGGAGAGTATGCCAAAAGCCGGGGAAAAACAGAGGGATACCAAAGAAGGAGAAGGGACCAGTGCGGTCGGCAAACCGGGGAACTCTAAAGGGGGCCTCAAGAGGATAGTAGCCACCCTCACTCGGGCGCTGAATAAGAATCAGGGGTATCTTGCGGATGCCAAGAAAAAACTTACTTTCGGCGGGGCAAACATTACGGAGTTCCTAATTGACTACGAGAACCTGACGGCCTTGCTGAAATGGACTGAGGAAGAAAAAATGGACCACTTAGGGCAGCATGTGTCGCTAAGCTTAGGAAGGGACATTATGGCTATTGTCGCCTCTAGTGGATCCTGGAAAGAGACCCGGAACGAGATGATGAGGAAAAACCTGAAGGCAGAGAAAATGACAACAAAAGCCGAGTTGGCGGCAGTCCAAAGGAAGAACTATGCGACTTACAACGACTTCCTAAGGGCGTTTACTCTAGTGGCACTACGAATTCCCGAGGTAACAAACCGTATAATGAGTAAGTACTTCCTCAAGTAGTTCTCCGAGTTCGACAAGGATAAGATTTTGTCAGCCTACTAGAAGACCAGTAAGTTCGAGTACACAAGGGATGTGAACTTTAGCACCGTAACAGACCTCGCCGAAAAGACAGTGGTGACCGAAACGCTAACCCTACTTAAGGAAGGGGAGGTCATAGACTTGACTGGGAAGACGGGGGACAAGGTCAAGAACGGGATAGAGAGCCTGCACGAACGAGTGCACGGGGTTGATAGCAAGACAGAAAGAGTGGAAAATGCGGTATTAGTAATGCAGGCGCTGATGTCCCGACCCGCCCTCCCGCCCCAAAAGTCCATAGTTCCGGTAGCAGTAGCAAATCGGGGGTATGAAGGAGGGATCCGGCTAACGAGCAGTGCAGGTATTGCACAATGGTCGGACATCTCGTGCGGACCTGCCCGAGACTCAACCATGATATCATGAGGCAGAGATGCAGCGGGTCCCTCAAAGGTGAAATTTTCGGGCCTCAGGGAGAGCGCATAAACTAGAATTCGCCAGGAGGGATATGGCGTGCCATCATCCTTCTAAATAATCTGGACATAGCTGCCGTAGAAGCAGAGTCGGTAGTTGACATTGTCTGGGACCAACCAAGGGGATGCGGACCATGGACGAATTTCATCCTAGAAGGTAGTGGGCAAGATAAGGTGAACATCACCACCCGCCAGGCAGGGGCAGAAAAGAAACTCATTCGACATATGGTAATGGAAGAGGTCGCGGAGACTAGCACAGACCAAGGTGAAACCGAGACCGGGGAACAGGAGAAGTTTTTTGGAAAGACAAGGGAAGAGGAGCCGATAGACAAAGCCATGGCGGCAAAGAAGAAGTTCAGGTACCAAATCCCAATCCTAACCTTGCCAAAAATCGATGATACGCTGAGCAAACTGCTAGGTATCATGGTATCTGTATCCTTTTAGACCATGTTGCAGGCAAGCCCGAGATTGCTTAAAGGACTTAGGCAATTACTAACGCGCAGACGCGTAGAGGTAGAGGAGGCCCCGGAACCACAGGAGCCGGAGACGGAAGAGGCTGAGGCACCACAAGGGGTCTCCAACCTCCAGAGGATCCCAGGGGATCTTGAGGACCTGGAAAAGGTCTTTGTAGACATCCGCCTAAGCCTACCAGACCGAGAGGGGGGTGAAGTCAGGAGGGCACCACCCGGGACGAAGCTTAGCTTTCATGCACTGCCCGCAGGAAAGCTAAAAGTTCAGATCGGAACCCACCACACAGATGCACTAGTGGATGATGGTGCTGAAATCACCCTCATACGACGAGACTTCGCAACAATTACGGGTTGCACCGTAAACAAGGAAGTGACGAGGAGTATCCGGGGAGCCGGCGGGGAGATTCCCTTTGCAGGGTATGTTACGAAATGCGCAATTAGGGCGAGGATCAAGGAGTGAATCTGGCCTTTTCAGCGGATGACCGTGATGGAAGAAATGAACTATGACATAATTCTCGAAAGACCATGGTCCGCCAATGTAGAAATAATAGGTATGCATCTGCATGATGGCACATACATGGTGGATATAGAGGACCCCGTGACCGGCCGCGGAGAACTCCTCCGACTCCTTGGGACCGGAGGGGACCCCCCGAAGGGCAAATTGGCAACCTGGTCGCCAACGTTCGAGGATAGTACGCAAAAAGGGGCATTCGCATGGATGGAAGGTATGAGGGGAAGAGTAGAGATCATGATTGAGGAGGCTTTTGACAAGAAGGAGTGGATCAAGATGGGTCTGCCTCTAAAGAAAAGGAGGCAAGAGGATGAGGTGCTAGGGGTTATGGTGGCAGAGAAGGAGGCGGAAGTCGAGTTTGGGGCCAACCTGCCCAAATCAAAGGAAGACCGGAAGGAAACGTCGGAGGTAGTACTTGAAGTTCTAGACTTGTTACAACTCGTTGAGGCTATCAGGTATCACAAGGTGGGAGTGGACCCAGCGGCGCTTGCCAAATTCGAAGATGAGGTTCGAAAAGGTTATTGCCTGAATAGGAAGTTAGTCAGTATCCAGCCCCGTATCATGGAGGTAGCAAGGCCAATCCCGACCGTTCATTTTTTAGGAGAACAATCCCAGAAGGGAGTGTGCGAAAGTACAAACCCGTAGGGAAGAAAGCCAAGCCGGTCTCAATCCTAGTAGAAACATCAAGGGAATAGGCCATGGAAAAGGAGGAAGAAATCCTGCGGATAATAAAGGAGAGGCGAACAGCGGAAGGGCACCGGATACCTGATGAGATAACGGATACCATGAAGATAGGGGTAGAAGGGTTCCTAATGGCGGAAGAGACTTAGTTGATAAGGATGGCGTGCAAGGAATTTCACTTAGCCTTCGCCTTCAATGACCACCAGAAAGGTCGATTGTATGCGAAGCTAATTTCCCCCGTTAGGATCCACACGGTGGAGCACGAATGCTGGAATGACAAGGGGCCCGCCCACGAGTTCGGAATAGCTGCGGAAGTCACTGAATTGTTCAGAGCCAAGATAGATTCGTTCGTGGCCGAACCCACTGCATCCCCCTACGCGAACAAGTGGTTTGTTTTTCGGAAGCCCAACAAATCGCTCAGATGGATCCAGGACTTGCAGAAGCTGAACGTCGTTACGATCCGGGATGCGGGATCACCTCCTTAGACCGACCTACTTGCAGAATCTCACGCCGGACGAAGCATTTACTTCCTGATAGATCTTTATTCAGGATATGACCAACGACTGCTCAACGCAAGGGATAGACCGTACATTGCCATGCACACCCCGGTAGGGCAGCTGCAGATGCAAGTGACCCCTATAGGCTTTACAAACGCTGTGGCAGAGGCGCTGAGGAGGATGCTTGTGGTCGCAGGGGACATGTTTTCGAAAAAATGCGAGCCCTACATAGACGATAATCTCATAAAAGGCGCGCAGAACAAGGATGAGACAGAGGTCCAGCCGGGCATACGAAAGTTCGTTTCGGATCACCTACAAGATATCAAGGACCTACTTCAACGGTTCTTGGTATATAATATTACCGCAAGCGGACCTAAAAGCATCCTGGCGGTCCCAGAAGTGACCATCCTGGGGTTTCGCTGTGGGGCCTATGGAAGGAAACCTGACGCGGCGAAAACGGATAAGATCTCTCAATGGCCAACACCGCTGCACATCATGACGGAAGTACGAGTCTTCCTAGGGGTGGTTGGATTCTGGAGAATTTTTATCAAAGGTTTTGCCAAGATAGCTTAACCTATCCGCGCAATGATTAGGGAAGGAGGGACCATGGAGTGGACTGAGGATAGGGAGGCGGCAGTCCAGACCCTCAAAGACGTCTTGTCTTCCGACCAAGTCACCTTGGCAGCACCCTGCTTCAATGATGAAGTAGGATGACCCTTAATCTCGAAAACAGACGGAGGACCTATGACAGTAGGTGGAGTCCTGATACAGAGGAGCGAGGAAGGTAAGGAGAGACCTATCAGATTTGAGAGCAAGACCCTGAATTCGGCAGAGAGGCGGTACTCACAATTCAAGAAAGAGGTCTTAGCCATTCTTTATTGCCTTAAGACTTTTCAGGCATACCTATTCGGGAGACGTTTTATCCTGAGAATCGATCCGACCAATGTCGCCGGGGCGTTAAAGAACTACAAGCCCATAGACCTGACCGTTGGGAGATGGATAGGCTTCATATGGCAATTCGATTACAAGGTCGAGCGAATTGCAGGGCTCAGAAATAGGGCAGACGGGCTAAGTCGGGTTCGCATTACGCCGGAGGGAGTAGAGGATGCGGAACCGATCGACGCCTTCCTAGAATATGAGGGGGGGACCCTTATCGTAGATAACGAGATGGCATGCACCGCTCCTACAATGGACCAACTGTTGATTCAGGCCCTAGAAAAGGGCGCGTCCACCATAGTTGCGGAACTCAGGGAAGGACCAATCATCACGTTTAGACGCAAGAATGAGAATGATTCGTGGGGAGCAACGATAGGGTCAAAGGAAGAGTTGATGGCAATGGCCGTGGAAGGGGGTCAAGATGCTTTGATGAACCTAACAGAAACCTGGACGCGAAGGGAGCGGCGGTATCTAGTGAATCAGGCTCAGGAGGGGCAAAACACCGATCAGAAGGGACATAAATTCTTCCTTATACAGATGTATGATGGCACCTTTAGAGAAATCGGTCTGTTGCTTATAGGAAATAAGCAGCCTATGCAAGTCAGCCTCAAGGCAAGGGAGGAAGCCAGGAAGTACGTTTTGAGAAACAGTCACCTGTTCAAGAAATAAAAAAAGGCGAGTCATGTGCAAGAGGTCTAGGCAGCGGGACATAATCCAGGCGATGCATGATGGGTTAGCCGGAGGGCATCAGTCGTCCAAAGGGACTTTTGCAAAAATCATGCCACTCTACTTCTGGCTAGGAATGGCAGGCATAGTGACGACGTACTGTCAAACGTGTCTGATATGCCAGGAAAGGAGTTCCGCACGTGTCTTCGAGCCCCTTAGACCTGCCCGGGTACTGGGGCCGGGGCACCTGGTCCACCTTGACCTCGCGGTCATGCCTGTATCAACGGATGGATACAGGTATTTCTTGGATGCAAGGGACAACCTCAGTGGTTACGTGGAGGCGGTAACTCGTAAGAGAAAAATGGGGAAGGGAGTGGCCAACTGGATAAAGGACTTCTACCTAAGGCACCCCTTTGTGCGCAGGTTCATAGCGGATAATGGGATGGAATTTGTAAATCACGAAGTGCTAAGCAGACTCAAGACGCTGTGTGTACCTATCAAGATCATTGAACCATATCACCCTGACGCCAATGCACCAGTAGAAAGGGGGCACCGGACCTTGAAAATCACAATCGCTAAGTTGGCGGCCGATGACCTGGGGAACTGGTCTCGGTACCTTAAGCAGGTCGTCTTCGCAGAAAACATGACGCCAAAAAGGACGACGGGATGCATTCCGGCAGAACTCTCGTATGGGAGGGAGATTGATTTCTCGGTGGAAGCTTTGGTTCCTACCTGGAACAGGCTAGATGACAATCCGCACATGTCCACAGAAGAGACTGATCGTCGCACGTTGCCAACAGGTCATTAGAAATGAGGAAGCCTTGGAGGATGTGGTTAAGCGTGTGATGGACAGCCGAATGAGGGACAAAGCAAGATGGGACCAGGTCAAAAATATCCGAAAGGAGCCGCTCCAGGTGGGGGAAATGGTACTAGTTAGGAACTCGGCACTTGAAAACACATGGTCTGGACAGCTGGGGAAAAGGTTCAAAGGCCCCTACAGGGTCGCAAAGCGGGTGGGCCTGAACACTTTTGAACTTGAAGATCTTGATGGTACTGCGATAAAAGGGTCATTTTCGGGACAGAGGCTGGTCAGGTTTTTGAGCCGGGATCCGGTCGAGCAATGGTTGCAAGAGGCTCAGGACAAGGAAACATGGGATTGACAACCTGAAAGACAGGCAACTGGCTATAATTCTGTACCGCCTCCCCGCGGAAGTTGTTCGTTTTTGTGTCTTCTTTCTTTTTGGGGCATGGGGTGACCGCTTGGACTGATTATGAATGGGGTTGGGAGCCTGGGAAAATGTACCATGGTTTTTGGGGGCCAATTTTGGGGGACTGCCTATATGAGGTACCTATGTGGTTGGGACAGTCCACTATAGTTTTTGTGGGGCAACTTTGGGGGCTGCCTACATGGGGAGCTTATGTGATCAGGACAAAGTACCAAAGTTTTGGAAAGGGGATAATGGGACTACCGATCATATGGGGCAAGCAAGGGTTATGGGCGAGCGTGTAAAACTCGCAAATGAGAGTGGAAGGGAGTGTGTGTGCATGCGGGATGCTGTGACTGTTATGAATGAACAGGACCAAGGAAGGAGAAAGCAACAGGAACAAACGAAAGATGAAATTTGGAAATGAAAACGACAGCACTGCCATTAACAGGCCTACTGGGAACAAGCAACAAGATAGGCTGGGGAGTCAAGTTCCAAGAAAAGGAAATTGTATGTGGGATTTGACTTCAACTTGGTTGTGAACAGAGGGGGAAGGAAGCAAGGGACCAGGGGACCCTTTCCCCTTAGAGAGGGGGAACCGATACTTCTCCCATCTGACAGTGACACCAGTAGTGAGGAGGATAGGAGCCTAGGGAAGAGGCAGAGGATGGAAGAGGAAGAGCCCAACGAGGTCATAGACCTCAGCAGTGAGGAGGAAGAAGATGAGGTCACAACACCCACAAACGAAGTTCGGGCAGGGGGGGAGGACCCAGGTGAGGAGAAAAACAAATGGATAAGAGAGTTGGGGCCATCTTGCACTGACTGGTTCGATCAATGGACCAGTATTTTGCGGTATGAGTGGGTAATGAAAGAGAAGGAAAAACTGAGCAGAGGAGAGGATCTAGCGCCAACAACATTTTTTACAGAAGACGTGTTCCTACAGTTGCAAAGGGCAAAGAGAAAGATGCAGCAGGAGATTTACAATTGTGCAAGGGAGGCTCGACACAGGGCAACTGGGCAGTAAACGGGTAGAAGCCATAACAGGGAATAGTTAGTGGGGAGGGCTGGTACCTGGGCAGGCAGAACTGTCATTTTAAACTTTGCATTTGAACTTTCCGAGAATGGACTATAACGGGATAACTTTCTATTTGGGATCGCCAAGGACTGGGTCATTAGTGCTACTTTGCATAAGTAGTTGCTTCTTCAGAAGGACGTCAGGACCGATCAGCTTGAGACTAGGATTATGAAAGACTGGAAGGGAAAAGAGGGGAGGACCTAGATGAGACAAGTCTATAATGTTGCTTTTGCATTCGAATTTGTCTTCTTTTTTTTGGGAAAAACCATGACAAAGCTGCTATTTGAACTGGAGAAGTAAAAACAGGGACTAGGTAGCCAGTGCTACTTTGCATAACTACTTGCTCCTTTGAAAATGCGGGGATCTTGGGTGGTGAGAGAAGAACAAGGAATGATTGATTTTGTTTTGGGAAAGGGCGAGAGTGTGTAAATTGTTGAAATTGAAGAAAGTCTATGGCAAAAAGTTTCCTTTTGAATGTGCAACCCTGCTCGAATGAGTCATGATATGAGTTTCTCAGAGAGGCTAGGGGATATATGGGTAAAGAGGCATGAAGAATCCTCTTCCCTAGGAGCCTAATCCAACCGGTCTCGGATAAGTCAAAAGCAACAAGAGGCATGAGAGGACAGAGAGATGGAGAAAACAGTGATGACACACACCCCCTTCGCTATGGTTGAATGACCGGGTGGGTTAGTGCTGCTTAGGGTTGCGAGCCTCAATTCGAGCACAAGACGCTAAGTCGGATGTATGTATGGACATGTGAATGATGATTGGCACGAGACAAAAGGCAAATGCATGCGTAAAACCCAAGAGATTACCACCTTCTAACCTTCGAGACAGAGACAGGATCCGTGTCCTCGAAGCCCACCCCTTCGGGCGCTAACAATGAAAATGGATAAGGATGACCCTAACCAGACTGTCCGATGGAAATGGATTAGGATGACCCTAACCAGGATGTCCGATGGAAATTGATAAGGATGACCCTAACCAGGCTGTCCGATGAAAATGGATAAGGATGACCCTAACCAGGCTGCCCGATGGAAATGGATAAGGATGACCCTAACCAGGCCGTCCGATTGAAATGGATAAGAACGACCCTAACCAGGTTGTTCGGAATGGCCCCTGACAAGGGTCATTCTTTGAAATTAGCACTGGCGTCTCCTTGCATGATTGTCTGAGATGGATGAGATTGAGAAGAGCTGAGTTTTGGAAAGGATATTGGACTCAGCTTTGGAAAGGATATTGGACTCAGCCTTGGAAGAGATATTGGATTGAGCCTTGGAATTGGATTGACCATTGAAACTGGATTGAGCATTGAAATTTGATTGGGCATTGGACTTGGTTTGAACATTAGACTTGGATTGAACACCGGAACTGGATGAGCATTGGAAATTGCATTGCATAAACAGGGGACCCCAAACAACTTGAAATGGACTTGGAAATAACATGGAAATGAATTTTCTCTTTCTTCTAGTCCTTAGCCTAAACAAGAGGGGGATACCGGTGCTTGCACCACGACCTCAAGACCTCTATCCCTTAAAGGGAAAAGTCTCAGCGCGGCCTGTTCCCCTTGTAAGGGCATGCGGGTTAAAGGACCAAGGCACCTACCACTTGGATCGGTGCGGGATGTCCGGAACTGACCCTGACAATGAGCTCTGCTCGGGAAGTTCAAATTGCGCCATGTGTTGAGAGTCTAAACGTCAAAGGGCGAGAGAACCAAATGGGCGAGAGAGCCATTTAATTCTGGTTTATTTCGCTACTCTCCAACCACACGCCATACCATAGAGGGATGGCATGGCCGTTTGGGTCGGACCTCGGTTGCCCGCACTAAGTTGGGCGGCACTATCCAAGTGGAGGGGCCGGGCGAGGTACCGGGTGGAGGCCGCCACCACCACGGGGCACTGACACTGCCCTGCCGGAACATTACAACCGTTTCGGGACTAATTACCAGGTCTTCGTAACTGCACTCGCGGACTAATAGAGAGCCCCAACTCTCTTGAAAGGAAGAGGCCGGATCCAGAAAACTATCACTCGGGAGGAACAATTCGCGAGGAAAGCTCTTACGGTTAGACGAGGCCCTGGGAGGTTTGGACTGGACCTACCTGCCAGATATGAGGAAGAACCTCAGTATTGGCGCTCGCCACGTAATAGAAAAAGGTCGGATCGAGTAGGAGGATGGGGCGCCACCCGCTGGAGAGGAACTGATCACTCTTCCTTTTGTGAAGCGGATGGGTTTGTGTCCTTGACTGCGGACGGCGGACCAAAGGTCTGCGTACCTCCGAGTGAGAACCAGTCGTGCGATGGGGACATCGCGTTTTGAGTAGGGGGAAGGTGTACCATCTACCAATGAAAACACATGAAAAATACTTGTGCAATTGACTTTGTATGGGCGTGAGAAAAGGGGGCCAGGCAAAATGCCCAGGGCAGAAAAGAACTTGTGTAATTGGTTTTGCATGGGTCTATGAAAGGGGCCTGGCAAGAGGTCCAGAGCAGAAAAGACTTGAGCAAGTGACTTAGTATGAGCTTGAGAAAGGAGCCTGGCAAGACTTGTATGATTGACTTTGCATGAACCCGAGAAAGGTACTGGCAGGCTGGGAAATTGATGAATAATTGGTCTGCATGGGCTTCAAAAAAATGTCTGACAAGGTGACTAGGAAAGAGATGTACGAGGGATGAACCGAGCATTGCACATGGAAAGTCAATTAAGTAGAGGGCAAGAAAGGACAAAGGGTGATATGCATGCGAAATTGGCAGGACCTGAGAAAGGCCGGGTAAAATTGCGGCACGGTATGTGGTGCAAAAAAATAAAACAAGTGCACCGTCAAGATCGGAGATATTGACGGCCAAAAATCTTAGCACCAATTGTGCAAGCACTAGCAAGCACTAGTCGGAGCAAGAGGGAAGGTCGAAAGAAAAATAAAAAGTAAAGAAAACGAGTGTTAGGGGCATGGGAGCAATCCGAAAAATCTCGGATTAGCCTCCCCCAAGAAACTCGAGCCCGTAGGGGCTCCACGAGAAAAATAGGCCTCCTGGAAAAAATCGGTGCATGAGGGCCTACCGTTTGGGGGAGAGACTCAGAAAAAGAGGGGCCAACGGTGGCTCCCAAGGGCATGGGAGGGCCACAACTGCAGTCCGAGAAATAACGGACTGACCCTTGGTCATAGGAAGGGCCAAAACTAAGAGGAAAAGGCAATAAAAGGGCCTTAACGGCTAGTTGACTTTTGGCATGCACAAAGAAACAGAAAAGAAAAAGACAATGTGGGAGTGAGAGAGGATGGGTGAGTTGGTCGTCGGTTGGGATTGCAGCAAGTAGGGATTGCCAAGTCCCAACTGTCCAAGGAAGGAGAAAAAAGAAAAGAAAAGCAAAGAAAAATGAGAAAAGGGCCTTAACGGTTTGTTGACACTTGACATGCACAAAGAAAAAAGAAAAGAAAAAAAAAATGGGGAGTGAGAGAGGATGAGTGAGTTAGCCGTTAGTTGGGACTGCAGCAAGTAGGGACTGCCAAATCCCAACTGTCAATATGTGGAGGGAAAAAAAAAAAAAAAAAAAAAAAAAAAAAA